CACACACACACACACACACACACACACACACACACACACACACACAATTAATTTTTAAGAACAAATAGGTTTTCAACAAAATAATTTTGGAAAGCTTTTTGTGTTGGGAACCTACCTCTTCTAGCGTAGAGTTCTGGTTGGCAACAGTTTTAAATTCATCCCAAAATAATTGTTTCAACTTGTCTATTTCCCCATAAAGCTTGCTTCGTTCTTTTTCTTTCCATTCATCAAACTTTTTTCTAGCTTCTATTTCCCTTTGACGAGTCATCTCTACTTCCTACAAAAGAGAGAGAGAGGAAAAAGCAATACAGTCAGTCATTCCTTCCACGTTGTAGCAAACACTTGCTGAGGACCCCAGAAGGCCTCTTACACGTGTATAACCTACGGGGATCCAGAGAACTCTCCACCCTCAGCCCCTGTGGTTTAGACCCAGAGTGGTCCCCTGCAGACATGTCTTCTCTAAACTGTAAACTCCCTTGAAGATAAGACTCATTTTCTCTTTTTTACACTCCTTACAAGGCCGGTTGGTACTCAACGCCTGCTAACACAATAAACAATGAGTGAATATGTGGAGGAATGAAGGCTAGTGTTTTCACTCCGTAAATATTTACACCACACTCCCCCTCCCACCACCCCCAGCCTAGATTCCAGAGCTAGATTCAAAACCAATTAGCCAAAAACGCTGAGCCAACTAACACAAAACATTATATTCAAGTTCAGATGCCTTCAGCATCACTATGCAGAAGACCATGACTCTCCGCTCCACTTTCGGCCACACAGGTCCTTTCTGGACAAACGATAACTATGCCCCACATAAGAGAAGGTGGCCCTCTATCTGACTTCTGGCTCAGGGACACCAATGGGAATTTGGACCCTGCAGGAGTCTTATGCATGGCTGAGCACAACGCCCTGAGTCTCCCCAACCTTTGCCCTGCACGCCTACCTGGGCCTGCCGCTGCCGCTCAGCTTCTCTCTGGGCTTCCAGCTCCCCTTGGGTCCACTGGAGCTTGGCCCGCAGCTCCTCCAGCACCTCCCCCAGTGGCTGCTCCTGCTTCTGCTTTCCTGGGGTCAACACAAGGAGAGGTGAAAAGGCAACGATGGGGCATTCCTCCCTCTGCAATCACACCTCGGTCTGAGAGCAGCTTTGTCCGGAGCAGTTCATTGACCTGGGACGAAGAGCATATCCCCCACCTCCCTGTCCCCCTGGTCCCCCAAACTGCAAAACAGAAACAGAAGAGCCCTCGAGTGGGGAGTGGGGTACGAAGTGAGAATGAAATGTGACAACACAAAGTGCTTACTTAGCACAGTGTCTGGCATGACAGGTCCCTAAATGTGAGCCCCTAGCAACTGTACTTCAGAGTATTTTGACAGTAATGACAGACGGACATGCAACTATCAGAGCAGTGGTTCTCAACCCTCCTAACGCTGAGACCCTTCAACACAGTTCCTCATGCTGTGCTGACCCCAGCCATAAAATTATTTCCTTACTACTTCATAACTGTAACCTTGCTACTCTGTGAAACATAATGTATATATCTGTGTTTTCTGATGGTCTTAGGCAATCCCTGTGAAAGGGTTGTTCAAACCCCAAAGGGGTTGCTATCTACAGGTTGAGAACCACTGTATTCGAATAACAGATAGAGAATGAAATATAAAACTACATTTAGTGACTTCTAAATGAAAATTACCAAGTACTCTTATTAAAAATCAGCCTTGGGGCTGGAGAGATGGCTCAGGGGTTAAGAGCATTGGCTTCTCTTCCAGAGGACCCAGGTTCAACTCCCAGCACCCACATGGTGGCTCACAACTGTCTGTAGCTCCAGTTCCAGAGGATCTGATGCCCTCTTCTGGTCTCTGTGGGAACCAGGCACACATGTGATGCACATATATGCAGACAAAATACTCATACACATAAAATCAATCTTTTTTAAAAAAATGTTTTCAAATAAATAAATAAAAGTAAAAATCAACGTTTACTTTGAAATAAGTACTGCACTGTAGGCAAGCCCCCTAGAGAGCTACATCTTCACCACCACCCCCATTTTAACATTCTGTTTTAAGACAGGCTCTCGGGCTGGAGAGATGGCTCAGAGGTTAAGAGCACTGGCTATTTTTCCAGAGGTCCTGAGTTCAATTCCCAGCAAACACATGGTGGTTCACAACCACCTGTAATAAGATCTGGTGCCCTCTTCTGGCCTGCAAGGACACATGCAATTAGAACACTGCATACATAATTAATAAATAAATAAATAAATAAATAAATAAATAAATAAATAAATAAATAAATAAATAAATAAATGACAGGCTCTCACTAAGTTGCCTTGGCAGGACCTTTCAATTCTCCTGCTTCAGCTTCGTAAGTGGCTGGAATTAAAAGGCTATGCTGCCAGACAGGCAGAACAAGCAATTCTGGAATGCAGCATTATTTCAGTTTAGTAAAGTAATCAAAGGTAAGTGTAGACTAGAAGAGCTGGCAGCCAAATTGCCTTAAGAACACATTTCCCAGGGCTGGAGAGATGGCTCAGTGATGAAGAGCACTTGCTGCTCTTCCAGAGAACCTGAGTTCTGTGCCCAACATCTATGTTGAGTGGCTCACAACTAAATGCCTGTAACTACAGCCCTAAGTGACCTAACGCCCTCTTCTGGCCCCTGTAGGTAAATACACACACACACACACACACACACACACACACACACATACACACTTGTGTCATACACACAGAGAAACATACACATAAATAAAAATAAATCTTAAAATAGAAAAAGAACAGTCCCTTCTCCTTCTAAAAGGTACAAGGATTTACATATGAGAATGTTAATCCTCTGCTACACAGTAAGGAGATTTTTTAGTTACTCAGATATTCTGCAGGACAATGCAAAAGAAACTGATGGTCACATCATGACATTCTGTTCAGTTATTAAAAAATTGTGTTTTCAAAGATGGTTTAGGGCTCGCAGAGTCCTGCCTAGTGTGCACAGCGCCTTCCTTTTGATCCCCATTACTTTGCATAAGCCAGGCATGGAAGCATACATCTGAAATCCCAGTGCCCTGGAATCTTAGGCAGGAAAATCAGGAGTTCAAGGCTAGCATTAGCTATACTAAGCAAGTTCAAGACCAACTCTTTAAACAATAACAACAATAACAAAAGCCAGGCAGTGGTAGTGCACACTTTTAATCCCAGTACTTGGAAGGCAGAAGCAGGTGGATCTCTGCGAGTTAGAGGCCAGACCGGTCTACAGAGCAAGTGCCAGGACAGTCAAGGGTACACAAAGAAACCCTGTCTCAAAACAAAACAAAAAAACAAAACAAAACAAAACAAAACAAAAAACAAAAAAAAAAAACTGTAGTATGTTCTAAAGTAATCATCAAAAGTGATTTTTTTGGGTTTGTTTTTTTTTTTCTTGGTTTTTCGAGACAGGGTTTCCCTGTGTAGCTTTGCGCCTTTCCTGAGACTCACTTTGGTTTTTTGTTTTGTTTTGTTTTGGTTTTTGGTTTTTCGAGACAGGGTTTCCCTGTGTAGCTTAGCGCCTTTCCTGGAACTCACTCTGTAGACCAGGCTGACCTCGAACTCACAGAGATCTGCCTGGCTCTGCCTCCCGAGTGCTGGGATTAAAGGCATGCGCCACCACCGCCTGGCAAAAGTGATTTTTTTATATGTTTGCAAATATATGGAGAAAAATACATCAAAATAATAACTGCCGGTGATAATGCCCATTGTTTTTATTTTTCTTTTCCTATGTATCACCATGTAGTTAAGTTTCCATATCTAAGACATATTTTTACAAGAAACTAGTATTTAAGACATAGACTATTTTTCCTTAATAATCCCCAGTATAGAACTATGAAGAGATATATAAGTGCAGAGTTAAAGGGTACTGCTTTAAGCATGCTCTGTGTGTGTGTGTGTGTGTGTGTGTGTGTGTGTGTATGTGTCTAAGGACTGAACCTAGAACTTCACTCATGCAAGCAATTCCTATATTACTGAGTTACATTCTCAATTCTAAAAAATCTTTCTCTCTCAAGGAAATTACTATGATGGGAAATAACGATGTTTTCCTCAATGAAATTTTTATATTATTTATGCGTTTATTTTATTGTACTGATATTTCTGTTGAACTCAAAAAGTACATGTAACTTTATGAGTACAGCAAAAGGCCTTTTGGAATTTGAAATGGTAAAATTAAATAAAGTGATTAAGTCATGATAAGCTCCAGTACACAGAACGGCCAAAGAACTGGTCTGACGGCTCATTTGCCCCATTTATGCCCAAAGCCAGCCTCAGAGGGCTTCAGATGAGGCCAGGAGACCAAAGGCCATTCAGAGTCACTGTCTGCTTCAGGCACATGGAAAGGTACAAAAATTCAGAGGCAAAGTGCTGACCACTGTCACATCATAGAAAGGAAAAAGCTACAATGAAACCTGTCTGATCCCTCTTGTTCCCTAGCAGGTTCATGTGTATGTGCCCCACTCACCAAATCCCAGTCCAGCAGCTCCCAGATGCTGCCCCAACTCACCGACTTCTGTCGTGCCTGCATGCCTGCGCTGGATGTGGCCCCGGAGAAAGGTGGCATTCATGAATGTCTTGTCACACAAATGGCACTACACAGAGGGGAAGCAGTTGGAAGAGCAGGGTTAGATCCCCCAGAGAGCACAGAACTTCCCTGCATTGAAAATCTGCCCCCACGGCACCCGTGGGCTGCTTCAGAAATAGAAATAATTTGAAGGGTTGGGAGTGTGTGAGACCCTGGGTTCCCATAGATAAGGACCACATAGATAAGGAAAGATTGGTGGGAGTGGGTAGGGAAGAAAAATAGGAACCCTGGTTTTCAGTAGAATACAAGGCCAGTGGAAAGAATCACCACACGCCCCAGCCCCTTACAACCGAATGTGACCATGTCACTAAATTCCAGTCATTATATATAAGCAGAAAGCAATTTCTAGGAGGTGACTTTTTATTTAAGTCCTGGTGGGACATACCTTTACCTGGAGTACTCAGGAGGCAGAGCCAGGCAGATCTCTGTCACTTGCAGTACAATCACATTGGACAGACTCTGCACTGACAGGTTCTGCCCACTGCATACTTAACAGAAATAAACCTCTAGTTGTAAGAGGAATATAAGTTGGATGGGGCATTTTATTGCCCCACCCCACACTAGCACCCCACATTGCCCGCAAACTATGAATCTCCTGGAAAACCTAAAAACCAGCATGATCTGTAACTACATTCTAGAGCCTGGCCCATGGTCAGGGTTAATGTCTCAACCTACATTTCTGGTGCAGTGGATTCAAATGCTTACGCGCTGCGCTGGCCATCTGTCTGAACTATGAAATAATCTGTCTAAACCTGCCTCCACTATGCCTTGCCACACACCCAGTCAGCCTCCACATGCTTCTATGCACACATGCCTTTACAGGGCACACTCTGCATACATACAAACTCTTCATCCTTGTACATGCACAAACACACATACCTTCCATACATACTCACAGACTTAGGTACGTATACTACATCTCCTTCATTCATTCACATAGACACCCTTACCTATAGTCTCTATATGTACAGACAGACATTTACATCCTTCACCCCCTCAAACACACAGACACACATCATAAATACATCTCTATATTAGACTTCGCAGCTGAGATCATTGTGGTAAGTCAGTACAAGCACACATTACACAATACATATTCTACAGATATCATAGAGGTACTTCAATCATTTGCATATATGCATTTAACACACCCCCACACAGATACAAACCTCATACAGTCACACCTTCACACACTACACCTGCATCCTCTCCATGCACAGGAGTACTCCGTATACATAACCCTGTACACTCATCTCTCGTACATCCATTCTACACTTACATAGCATAGCACCCAACAGTAATCCTCAGACTCTCAGAATGTCACCTCTAAAACCTGCCCCTCACTGGTGAGAGTGGCCTCCAGTAGTCCCGTGGCCCAAGGCAGTACCATTCATCCGGCCTGGTGCCTAAGGTGCACAGCCCAGGTTCCCCTCAGCAAAGAATCCTCACCGTGTGGTAGCTGTGGGCACCGGTCTGCAGGAGCAGCTGCTGCAGGGTGCTGATCATCTTTCGCCGACGCCGGCTCTCCTCCCGAACACCCTTGAGCTCATCAGCCTGGCGCCCCAGCTCCTGCTGGCCACGCTGCTGCTGGCCCAGGCTGGCCTGCAGCCGTGCCTCCAGCTGCGCCACGCTGGCACTCAGGCAGTCCTGGCAGTGCAGGAGGTACTCGATGATGAGCTGTGCCAGGCGCAGCACCTTGAGCAGCACTGGGTCCACAGGCTGCCTACAGTGGTTGCACACCTCTCGATCCAAGTTGCAGAAGGTGACGCCAGCAATGTTCTCCTGCAGGGTGGCCACGTCCAGCTCCCGGGCCACACGGTCCACGTCCACAGCGCTGATGCGCCTCCAGTCTATGCTCTCACGGCGAGGCTGGAACTTGAAGGTGGGGAGTGTGTAGGCCCCAGACAGCGGGCCACTAAGGCCCTCAACAGTGGCTGCTGAATACTGCATGGGCAGGAGAGGCTCTGGACTGACCACAGGGGTAGAGTGCCACCAAGGCCCCTGGCCAAGGAGCTGAAAGAAGACCTGGAAAATGGAAGGGTCCAAGTCAGACAAGTTCGAATGGCTGTAGCTTTCATACACCTGTTCAGCAAAACCTTAAAGTGGAGCACAGTTAGTTGTCTATATAAAAGCTACTCAGTATGATGCACTGTGTTCACATGGTTACAGTGTGGGAAAGAAAGGTGGGATTTCCATTGCACAGATATGTATGTGAATCCTCTGCCTTGGGCAAGTCTCTTCCTCTTAAACCTCCTGTGTCTGTGGGGAGCAGGAAACCCACTTGGAAGGACTGTGGTGACGAAGGAGGCCAGTGACACACCCAGCCTGCTGCCTGGCACCTGGTGGGGTCCTCAGGAACCCCCTACAGAACCACTGCAGTAGTGCCTGGCAAAGAATTCGGTCAAGTGTACAAGGGCAACACAACAGTTACTTGGGATAAAGTCCAACAACTCTCCCGGAATGGCAGAGACACCTAATGACCACAACAGTGCCTTGTGTTACACCACATTCTAGTAGCACATGTCTGGACTACATTTCCCAGTTTTTCCTGCAGTAAAGTGTGATCGTGTGACCGAGTTCTTTCTGGTGGACTGTAAGTGAAATAAGGTCCAGCCCAGCCAGGGGGAAAGCCGCTATGTCTCTGCACAAAGTGTGCCCAGTCTATGGTGGCCTGATTGCTTATTTGTTGCCTTTTTTTTCCTGCACTGAGGATTACACATGGGGCCTTAGGCGTGCCAGGCAAATGCTCTAATGGGGAGCTTCACTCCACGCCCATTAACAGGTTAGAGAAAAGAGCTTTGTTTTCGTTTTTCCAAAAGACTAGGATTCCATTTCCTGTACTCTCGGTAGGTATATTTGCCAGCTTTTTATCAAATTGCCACAAGCTAGAATCACCTGCAGTTAGGACATGCCTCCATAAGATCAGGCGGCGTGCAGGTGTGTGGGGCATTTTCTTAATTGATTGCTGTGGGAGGGGCCAACCCACTGTGGGCGGTGCTACTTCTGGGCACGTGGTCCTGGGGTGAATAAGAAAACAAACTGAGCAAGCTATAGGAGCAAGCCAGTAAGCAGCGTTCCTCCATGGCTTCTGCTCCAGTTCCTACCTCGAGGTTCCTGCCTTGAGGAACTGACTTCATTTAGTGACTTCCTTTTAATGATGGCATGTGACCTGAGACTTGTAAGCCAAAATAAACCCTTTTCTCCGCAAGTTGTTTTTTATTATAGTGTTTTATTACAGCAATAAAAACCCAAACTAAGATGGTAGGCATATAATTTCTCTTTGAACAGTAATTTGACAATATCAATGGGAATTTAAAATTAATACATTACTACTAAGAATTATAAGCCAAGAGGTGGTGGCACACGCCTTTAATCCCAGCACTTGGGAGATAGAGGTAGGCAGATCTCTGTGAGTTCAAGGCCAGCCTGGTCTACAGATTGAGTTCCAGAACAGCCAGGGTTGTTACACAGATTTTGAGAAATCTGTCTCAAAAAAACAAGAAGAAGGAGGAGAAATATCATCATCATCATCACCATCATTATTATTATAACTATGGCTGGAATGCAGTTCAGTAGTAAAGTGACTGCTTAGCATTCATAAAACCCTGGATTTGATCTCCAGTACTTAGAGAAAAATTAAATTTTTGGAAAAAAAAATCATTTCTTAAAGACAGGCCTGATGCATGAGGACCTACAATCCCAGATACTTGGGAGGTTGAGTCAGGATGATCAAGAGTTCAAGACCTGCCTATACTATAGAGTAAGTTCAAGGCCAGCCTGAGTAATTGTCAAAAAATACTCTAGAGGGGCAGAAGCCTGGGGCTGCAGCTCAGTGGTAAAGTACCTACCTTGCATACACAAAGCATACACACACACACACACACACACACACACACACACACACAGAGAAATTCTTAATAAAAAGGTGAATTAAAATTTACTCTATAGACAAACTCATCTGCACAAAGGTACCTGTGAAAAATTGCCATTGCAATATTA